TCCAGCTGAATGCCGATTGTCCCCCTGATCAGTATTTCATCCAGGAGGACAGTGGAGAGGTAAAAATAACGACCCCATTCTGACTATGATGGTCAGTCTGGTTTGGACCAGCGTTCTGTTCTTCTGTCAGACTTTGAATCAGTAGACATTTCTGATGGGTCATTGATCAGAGAACTGATCTCTGACTGATCAGTATCAGAATGTTCTAATGGCAGGAACCAGAGCTTTGGTTCTGTTGGGTCTGATTTGGGTTTCATCTTTAGCATCAATGGTACCGCTGGTACCGTCTGGACACTGGCAGCTGACATGGACTTCTATGCTAGTCTGGTTCTGTCACAGTTCTGGTTCTGATTTGTCCTCTGAGCTGGGAACCTATCAGGTTATGCGTGATGATCCTGACTTTGGATCGGTTCTCTTAGGATTTCAGAACCCAGGACCAGACCCAGAATGTGTCCATATTTCACCTTTAAAAAATATAATAAAATAAGATAATCTCAGCAGTACCTTGGTTCTGATCCGGTAGTTCAGAAACTATGACCTCACTGACTCCTCCCCTTTCTTATGCAGGTGAGGAACAATCCCAAGCGGTCCTGTCAGTTCAACCGGACCATGCTGGGGGACTGCTCAGGGCTTGAGGACCGTTTCTATGGTTACAGCAAAGGACAGCCCTGCATCCTGATCAAACTGAACCGGGTAGGTTCTGATCACTTACTCTCTGATCACGTTTCTGTGGTAGCCATAGCAACCACCCTAGGACGCCCTGTGTCCCTCCTCCATCAAGCTGGTTCTGCTGCTTCTGATCGCTTGAATAAGATCAATGTCTCCGTCCATCAGACAGTGAGGCGCTAAACGTTCAATTATCGAGTGCTTAGCAGTTCCTCACCATGCTGCCATTGGGAACTGGGAGGATAATCAGATTAAATGGTTAAAACCAGTACCTTTGTTTTAATGAAGATATTTAGAACCTGTTCTTTATTTCTGCAATAATTGAATGTCTGACATCGGATTCCAGTGAGGCAGAGGTTTGGATGATTTTATTGAGGTTAGCAGCTGTTTGCAGAGTTTGGGTGTAAAACTGTCCGATCTGGTGACCCCAGGTAATGATACCATGGATCACCAGGTAGAGACGTCACCATATGGCTCTAGTCGAGTCTGATCTAACAAACATAAACGCATCTGCTGCATTTAATAAACATGGAGCCGCACTGGTGAGAGCGACAGACAAAATAACCAAACAATAAAGAACACCAACTACGCCCTGGCTCCCTTCCATGTTGCTCTCTGTTGTTTACTTTCCTAATTTCAGTCACACTGATGACATCATCAAAGCTAACTCAGCGTGATGCCTCACCAATCAGGCAGCAGTGGGGGACGGAGGCCATGCAGCTGCCTGTTGGGGATCAGATCGGCTTTTTATACCAATGGGAACGGAGCCGGATGCTTATTGTTTTCGGGTCAACCAGCTAATTTCAGAATGAGTGCAGGTCTGGACGGCTAAATATTACATCAGAGGCCAAAGGTGAATGTGTCGGTATTCTCTGAGATCCAGAAGTCACTGTGCTATGATGCTATCCCACCAAACATGGTAAGGAATTTAATGAAGAGCACTGAACAGAGCTAGATGCTTTGCTAACCAGGCTAGGACTTCCTGCTAAACTCTGCAGTTGATATTAGTTAGTTCATCTGACACGGTCAGTGGTGAAGCTGACTCTGATGACCTTTATGTTCTTGGTGAGGGAACTTCAGTCTAGTACTAGGTCTGGTTGAAGTCTCTAGGGGTCAGCCTGAATGATGCCAGAAGCCTGACTGTTCTGGTTCTGTTTGAGCGCCCTGAATTTTGCCCTGACCAGCAGGTAGATGTAGATTTTCCTACTGATGGAGGTGCTGCAGAGCCTCCATCTGACCTCCTCCTCTGTGTCTACAGGTGATCGGGATGCTGCCTGGGAAGGACGGCCAGTCTCCTTATGTCAGCTGTGGAGCCAAGGTCCGACTGACCCGTCTGTGTCCCGCTGCCTCTGTGTTCATCTGTCTGAGTCCCTGTGTCTCCATGTGTCCATGTATCTCCATGTCCTCTTTGTCTACAGCCTCACAAAGTGGGAAGCCATAAGGGGTGAGACCTCTAGGAGATCTTCACCAGCACAGACCTTAGATCTGGACTAACCCAGTTTGTAGATTTTTCTTTCCATGTAACTCAGATCAGGCATAATATAAAGACCACCCATTGGGTGTGGGGGGTGTGGGGAGTCCCTGTCTGGCAGCCAGTTCCGTCTGAGGCATGGACTCCTTCAGAGCCCAGAAGGTCTGGATGTTTGCTCAGGGTCTGGCAGACCATCTATGGTCTGAGATCCTGGTAGGAGAATGGAGGCTATACCAACATTTCTGACTTCTGCTTTTATTGGGTTGGGGTTAGGACCATCATGGCGTCCAGGAGAAGGTCTTTGTGGTTTTCATCCCTGCCTAGAATTATTATCCTGCCAGGTCTCCTTCACCTGGTTGGACCCCTTACCAGTGCTGTCCCTAACCCCACCATGAAGGTGCCTCATACTCTACCATGATGGTGCCTGTAACCCAACAATGATGGTGCCTGTAACCATGGCGGGGTCTCTAACCC